GAATGATAAGGACTAGGCCCTGAAAAATTAAAGGTCAGAAAATAAAGATACAGAGGACGAAATCAACAAAAAGAAGAGGCAGCTCGATCGAGGCTTACATGAATCTGGAAGGAGATCTGCTTGCGCTAATTTTTGCCCCCGGGATAAGCACGCATTCCCTCGGCGCCGGAGGGGCATCAGCAACATCAGGAATTGGGACCGTCGGTGTCCAAGTTTCGGTCACCGGCGCCTTCTCTCTGCGCCACTTTTTCAGCACAGGAACCTACTCCTCCGACACCGAAGGGGCCCTCATGGTTTTTTTTTTTTCTCGGCGCCTGGGAAGAAGAGTTGGCTTTCTCCTTTCCCTTGGATGGAGGCTGTTGGCTTGGTGGGGGCTACTGGCTTGGCTAAGGTGGCTGATTACCGGGAAGCTGAATCCTCAAAGACGCCATTTCTGTGCAAACGACGAGACAAAAATATAGTCGACGTTTGGATAGACCATGCTAGAATAAGAAAAGGCGGCGAACCAAGGGTTTACCTTCATCGCTTAGGTGAAAAAACTCATGAACGGCGTTAAGATTAGTAGGGTCTGGAAGTTCAAGAATCAACCCAGTCTGTCGAAGGTTGGCCTCGGTCAAGAGGGTGTCAATGTGTCAATCACTCGTCGAAAACTAAAAGGCCTCCTTAACCCTCGCCAACCTATTTCCAGCAAGCTTCGGCCGATCGTGGCTAACTGCAGATAAAAGAACTGTATGTGTTAAAAAAAAAAGAGAAGTAGGGGGAGGAGAAGAGAAGTTAAAACTCTCACCCATATTCTCAAACGATGCTTGCACCTTCCTTCCGCGGGGAAAGCGGTCGTCAAGATGGAAGTTAAAAGGCCCTCGTATCATAAAAAACATGGGTTTCCACCCGTACGACGATGAGGGTATACCCAGTATTAGCTTGCCAAATCTGGGCTGAGATATCTCATGCCCACTCAAAAAGTACCACCCTTCGCACTTTGCGATGTGGCATAACCTATACATAAACCTAAACTCGTCCAGCGACAGATCTATATCAAATCGTTGGCTCCACAAAATTCAGGCGCCGGCGAAACAATACCAAAAATTCGGCGCCAACTAAGCAGGGGAGATGCCATAGAAATGGCAATAGTCCTTTACAAAGGGATGGACCGGTAGGGTCATCCCCGCCGTGACAGCCCTAGTATAAACGGGGAGGTATCCGGTCGGAGGCATGCTAGTCCTAAAATGCATATCCAGAAATAGGTATTTGAACCATCTCCCATCAATGTAGCCTTCTTTGACAGCCCGGATGATATCTTTGTTCCAGACCCTCGACGCCACAACATCGGCCGTAAAAAATGGCCTGTCCGGGTCTCCGCTTGTAGCAGCCAGGGGGCGTCCACCAATGAAGCAGCGACCCCACAAACGCTGCCGCCTGTGAAAGGCCTCCTACTAACTTCTTCGTCAATCATTTGGCAGACGCTGTCATAATCATCACTACAGTCGTCGCTTGGACCGGCCACATGTTCCTCAACTTCCCGTAATAATGAGTCGCAGTCCGACGAGGAAGATGATCATGAAATCTCTGCCACAGAAGGGGAGTATGGTCGTACAATAGACGGTTCCTCTCGACAAGTGTTTTTTGGGGCCATTATTCTGATAATAAAAAAGACAAGGAGCTAAGTCAAAATCCTAAGTCGAGAGGAAGGAGAAAACGGTGACCACTCTAAGCGACGACCATTCTAGACAACGACTGCTGAAATGCCTCAACATAACGTCGACCATTCATACATAAATGGTAACGACGAACGCTCGTGACAACCAGGGTTCATCAGAACCCAGAAGCCAGAGACTTACATTCAACCAGAAATCAGAAAAAAACTATCCTACGTGGGTCAAATAAAGCATGGTAAGTTACTATCCTCTACATTTCGCATATCAGCACATACATAGGATTCACTGGGAAAGCCAGTAAAATCATCCAGCAATGCAAATAAGCAATGATTAAAGCTTACCAATGAGTCGGAGTCTGGGCGAAGTTTGGAAACCAAGTAGCTTCACGATGCACCAAAGGAAGCAAGGAGCGCAAGTCAGAAATTCACGAGGAGAAATTTAGGCAGAGCAACGGCAGTTTTAAAAGTTTGGGGAAGAATGGCTTCAGTTCGAAGAATATTTAAAGGAAAATAGGCCCTCGACCCCTGACCGTCAAATGAAGCTCATGAAAATCCAACGGCAGGGGCAGTTTTCCTAGATCGAATGACAGCAAAATGAAGGCGAGAAGATGAAGGGATACAATCCGATGGCTCATATTCATCTTTTCAAAATAAAGCCTTACCTCAGCATGGGGAAGCGACCGACGCGACGGTTACGTTCCTCGAGGAAATCAGAAGCATCCAAGCCATCATTGCAGATGAAGGCTCGGGGCCAGGTTCCCACACCCAAAGCACAAAGGTACGACCGAACCTAAGCTCAAATCTGTCCAAAAGAAACCCTCGACCTAGGGGGTAGCTGTTGTGTGGGAAAATGTGGATGACGCGTGGAAAAACAACAGTGTGACACGTGGCCTTGCTTTTCCTCAAAAGGCAACAACCCTCGACGGTGGGGACTCCCTTTCCTTCTGCTGCAGAGGAAGCCCAACTTTAGACGCCGACTCCTCATAACGACGAAGTTCGTACCGTCGACCTTACGACGGAAATCTTTCGGGAGGAAATCAATTGCCAAGAAAGATAAGGCTGAGCAAATAAAGACAGCGAGAGGAATGCCCCAAGAGGGGAAAGCCTGACATCGCAAGTTGTGTGTAGAAATGGGAGATGTCTACAGTACAGACATTAATTGCAAACCCTTAAACCGCCCTACGGGGGACAGAAAAGGGTTACAGGTACGCACAGAGCCGTAATGGGAGACTAATTGGTTGAGTGAACAGTTCACAAAAGTGATTAGTGGGCTACGGTCTGGGCCTAGAAAGGCAGACCACTTGAGTGCTTCTGCCACAAAAGAAACCCACTCGACGAAGGAAGCTCGGCTATAAAAGGGGCAAAGCCTCCTACAGGAAGGAGGTTTGTTTTTCCTGAGAGAAAAGAACGAGAGAGCAACAATTGATGTAAATTGTATCAATCTCAAAAAGAATATAAAACTACAATGGATGTAGCTCTTCATTAACAGAGTGAACCACTATAAATTTCTTGTGTTCTTCTACTTTAAGCATATTTTTCTTATATTGCTCACCACTCAAAAAATCCCACAAACACTTCACTCCATAAACTAAGTATACAGTCAATACCAAGCCGGTAATCCAATGGGATAACGAGAGGTGACCCGGCCTATTTCTGTTGACGAGTTTTCACCGTCAACACTTGCCTTTTCAGGTATCACTTTTTTTGTTGTTGTTGTTGTTTTTTTTTTTTTTTCCCTCCAGGCTTTTTGGTATGTAGGCTGTGGCACTCGGCCTTTTTGGTATGTAGGCTGTATCTGTGATATGTATCAAGATCCAATGCCCTTCGTGGTATCGGTTTCTTTGTGAATGTGCCACTACTTGCCTGTATGGCATGTAATTATAAGCTTTCTGGTCTTGTGCATTTGTAAATTAGGATGTTTCATTAGTTGTTAGTTGGTGTCTAGTGTATTTTTCTTTTATTAATGCCACCAGTACCTTTCACAGATATTACTTGTACTGGTTACCACACGTTGATTTGGAACTGTATGTGTTCACCATGTTATTAATCTTGCCCAGGTGGTAATGCTGATTATGCAATGGATATGCACCAGAAAGAACAACTTCACGACAATAGCATGTCAATGATGCAATCTCAGCATTTCTCCGTAGGTCTTAGATCATTTTTCTTTTTTAATTACCTGTCCTTGTTATCTTATGAGTTTACTCTTAATACTTCCATGTTTCAATACCCAGATGGTGAGGTCTGCTGGATTCAATCTCAGAGCAACATATTCATCTCATCGACCTCAGCAGCAACAGCAACATGTTCCATCAGTCAGCAGTAGTGGTGTGTCCTTCACACCTGGAAACAATCAGGACATGCTGCACGTACATGGCTCTGATATGTTTCCATCTTCACATTCATCTTATCATTCCCAGGTATGATCATCTGGTGTAGTTAATAGTTCTTTTGCTTATCTGATTCGGTGGTTTCAAATGGAAACATGAGAGTCTGTTTCATTTTTGCAAATCTAAGTTGTGGTTAATTAGAGATTGTGAAAAGCAAACTAGTTTGTGTACCAAGAAAAAAAAAAGAGCCAACACCTGGAAACGTGGAAATAATTGAAAGATCCAAATACAAAGAAAAAACCTTCCATTACTCTCTTGTGCAGCATGCCTAAAGACGAAGCCCAGTTATATGCGGCAAATGAACTGTAAGCACTTCCCACTTACTATTTCTAAGCACTTTCTATATGCACGTTGTCTACTCAAAATCTATTATGTAACCAAATCGACTGAATGTTTTACTAACTGCCTTGACTGACATCTTCAATTGCAGTTATAACAGAGGCTGGTTTTATCACAAAGAACACCGCTTGTGGTTTATTAGGGTCCCCAACATGGAGCCACTAGTCAAAACAAACACCTATGAGAGAGGATCCTATCACTGTTTTGATCCAAACACATTTGAAACAATCCGCAAGGTTAGGAATACAAATCTTATTCTGTCCATTACTATTTATTTGTCTCCATTTTATTTTAGCAATTAAGAATTATCATTATATTTTTATTTTGGCAATGAGTTTTCTTTCTTTGGGTAGTCGGCTGAAGTTGTCTGTGATATGTATCAAGATCCAATGCCCTTCGTGGTATCGGTTTCTTTGTGAATGTGCCACTACTTGCCTGTATGGCATGTAATTATAAGCTTTCTGGTCTTGTGCATTTGTAAATTAGGATGTTTCATTAGTTGTTAGTTGGTGTCTAGTGTATTTTTCTTTTATTAATGCCACCAGTACCTTTCACAGATATTACCTGTACTGGTTACCACACGTTGATTTGGAACTGTATGTGTTCACCATGTTATTAATCTTGCCCAGGTGGTAATGCTGATTATGCAATGGATATGCACCAAAAAGAACAACTTCACGACAATAGCATGTCAATGATGCAATCTCAGCATTTCTCCGTAGGTCTTAGATCGTTTTTCTTTTTTAATTACCTGTCCTTGTTATCTTATGAGTTTACTCTTAATACTTCCATGTTTCAATACCCAGATGGGGAGGTCTGCTGGATTCAATCTCGGAGCAACATATTCATCTCATCGACCTCAGCAGCAACAGCAACATGCTCCATCAGTCAGCAGTAGTGGTGTGTCCTTCACACCTGGAAACAATCAGGATCTGCTGCACGTACATGGCTCTGATATGTTTCCATCTTCACATTCATCTTATCATTCCCAGGTATGATCATCTGGTGTTGCAAATAGTTCTTTTTCTTATCTGATTCGGTGGTTTCAAATGGAAACATGAGAGTCTGTTTCATTTTTGCAAATCTAAGTTGTGGTTAATTAGAGATTGTGAAAAGCAAACTAGTTTGTGTACCAAGAAAAAAAAAAAAAGGAGAGCCAACACCTGGAAACGTGGAAATAATTGAAAGATCCAAATACAAAGAAAAAAGTGTGTATTTTTAAAGTAACTCCCTGTAGATATATATATATTTTTTGTATTTTCTTAATGGAAATTCATTGCGACTTATCTACATGCGTGTATGCATTCTGTTGTTTAGACTAGTGGACCTCCTGGGATTGGATTACGACCTCTAAACTCCCCGAGCACTGTTTCTGGCATGGGATCATATGACCAGCTTATCCAGCAATATCAACAACATCAGAACCAGTCCCAGTTTCGCCTGCAACAAATGTCAGCTGTCAATCAGTCATTTAAGGATCAGGGAATGAAATCCATGCAGGCAGCTCAATCTGCCCCAGACCGATACGGCTTACTTGGTTTGTTAAGCGTGATAAGGATGAGTGATCCTGATCTGACATCTCTTGCGCTTGGAATTGATCTGACAACTCTAGGATTAAATTTGAATTCAACAGAAAATCTTCACAAGACTTTTGGTTCACCTTGGTCAGATGAGCCAGCTAAGGGTGATCCAGAATTCAATGTGCCACAATGTTATTTTGCCAAACAACCACCAGCATTACACGTATGTGTTCCATTTTGTTAACCAGATTTTGTAGTTCGATCAAGCAGAGTATTTATAGTTTGTTCATCATGCTTATAGTTCCCTCTTTGCTGAATTTCTTAATGGTGGCTGCAGCAAGGATACTTTACTAAGTTTTCGGTGGAAACATTGTTCTATATCTTCTACAGGTGCTTCTCTCTCTTGAATCTCTCTGTTTTGTAATGTCTCTTTTAAGATGCTTAAAAACCTTCCATTACTCTCTTGTGCAGCATGCCTAAAGACGAAGCCCAGTTATATGCCGCAAATGAACTGTAAGCACTTCCCACTTACTATTTCTAAGCACTTTCTATATGCACGTTTTCTACTCAAAATCTATTATGTAACCAAGTGGACTGAATGTTTTACTAACTGCCTTGACTGACATCGTCAATTGCAGTTATAACAGAAGTTGGTTTTATCACAAAGAACACCGCTTGTGGTTTATTAGGGTCCCCAACATGGAGCCACTAGTCAAAACAAACACCTATGAGAGAGGATCCTATCACTGTTTTGATCCAAACACATTTGAAACAATCCGCAAGGTTAGGAATACAAATCTTATTCTGTCCATTACTATTTATTTGTCTCCATTTTATTTTAGCAATTAAGAATTATCATTATATTTTTATTTTGGCAATGAGTTTTCTTTCTTTGGGTAGTCGGCTGAAGTAAACTTCGATCGCAGGATAATTTTGTGCTTCATTATGAGATGTTGGAAAAGAAACCAGCTCTACCTCAACATTAACATGTGTCTTTTTTTCTTTATTTTGATAGTGGATCACTTTCTTACAGGTTAAATAGTGGAGATGACTTTTTTCTTGAAACATTTTGTCAAGATGGAAGGATTTACTTCACCATTTCACTTAGTTAGACGTTTTGGATACTTTGATATCTCCAACTATTCCTCTATTTTCTTTAGTTGTTTTGAATGTTAAGGTTTTGGACATTGTATGAATAATATTGTAAACGTAATTTTATTATCAACTTGGTAGATACTGATAATAATTGATACGTAAAATATTTTTATGTTTTAATTTGAATGTTCCTATTTAGATATAAGATGTTGCTCGGAATCACCATCTATTTGAATGAATTCAAAAGAATATAAATAATAATTTTAAAAAGCTACAAGAGTATAAACATGACAAGGAAAAAAAGCTATTAATCTGTATCGTAGCCATGTTAAATAGCTGTAAGAGGTTGAAAATAACTTGTCTTAAACGCTATAATACCTCAATTCTATAGCGCTTTCAATAACTCTTTTAGAACGTTATGTTTTCTTACGACTTCTAATAGCGTCCGATGTCCTAGCGCTCCACAAAATGCTATTGATAGTGACTAATAGCGTTTTTGGTCAGCTACTAATGTTGATATTTCTTGTAGTGACCAATGGAGACATGTACTTGTTTTAATTTATTTTCTTAGTAATTTGGTGTGATGATTCCTGAAATGTGGAATACGGATTTAAAGATCTAACAAGTGGTATCAGAGTGGTCATCACATTAAATTATTGAAAGAATTTTTATCTCCAATATCTCTGGCTGAATATCATGTTTATTGATTCATATGATTTTTCTTTTGTCTATGGAATTTTAGATATGCTTTATTTTGTTAAGAAAAGCATGTATATAGATAATCATATGAATTATTGGTGATTGATTTCGATCAAAATTTGTTGAATAATTTTCAGATTAATTGTTATTCACAAAATTGATTATCTGAAAATTTTAGAATTAGGAAATTTGGTAAAGGATTTATTAAAGAAGTTTTCTTTTCTCTCGGGTGTTTCTGGAAAAAAAAATTTTCTTCTTTCTTTTTCTCTTCTTCGGGTTGAAGATTGTGGCCGGTGGTAGTCTTGGCCACCGGCGCTGAGCAAACAAGGGCGCGGCCATTAGGCCGCGCCGACAGGCAAGCCGCGGCCTATGGGGGCGGTGGGATGAAGACTAGTGGCGGCCACGGCCGCCGCATAAAAAAAAGGGAACTTCTTCATGGCCGGCGGCCACATCTACCGCCGCCGGCACTATGGATGACCAGACGCAATCCTCTGGCTGCGCCGGTGACAGAACAGTCACGGTGTGCCACCGCGGCAATGTACAGTGGCGGCCTGTGCTTCAGTGAAGGGCCGCAGGTAACCTGCGGCCATAAAGGAAAACTTTGGGTTTATTTTATTTTATTTGATTATTATTGCACTTAATTGTCTTGTATTTTGAAATAAATTGATTAAAATAATATTGTTTCCAAAGTAACCTCTGTTGTGGATGTTAATTTATTTTAGAGTATAAAGATGTGTGTACCTGTTATTTATGCGAATAATGATCGGCCTAAAGGAAGGTTATTATTTGGCAGAATAATGAGTATACCTGTGATAATAAATATATGACAATTATAAGGTATTTCATGTGAATAAAAGTCGGCCAAAAGGAAGGCTATTGTTTGATAGGATTTATTGTCAATATTTGATTACTGCACGGAGAGTACAACTTACAAGCTGATATTTCTCGTCCAAAGACTAAATATCAGTGTTGTGCTAGGTATCTTGAAATGGGCCTACCACCTTGCTTCGAGTTATTTGTTTGTCATGTATGCACTATATGGTTTGATTATGCTTATGTATGACATGAATGTTGATTATTAGTATATTTTTTTTTTGTTTTCTATTTAGTTTTTGCTACTGCTATGAATGTTTCTACTCAAGTTAACGCAATCTCAATGCTGAATGGGATGAATTTTAAAGTTTGGAAAGAGAACGTGGAAATCATTCTCGGATGTATGGATTTAGACCTTGCACTCAGGACAGGGCTAAAGGAGATCGTAGACTTTAAGAAATTAATCACCTGTCCAGAATCTTGAGCATACTTGGGTTTTATTATTTTTATTTTGAAATAAAGTTTTTTTCAATATTCAATTATTTTTATATATTTAATTAGATTTTAGTGGCTTTAATTAATTCTTAATACATCACGTCAGAAATCCGTTAAAATTATAGACAGACTTGGATGGAAGGGGCACTTTGAATCACTTTCTATATATAAGGAGATGTTTTAAACTGTTTTGTAAAATTTGGGAGAATTTTGAAACATAATGCATACTTCGAGGGCATTTATGAAAATAATTTCAAAAAAAAAAAAAAGGCCAAGGTCGTCTATTTTGATAAACGACATACACCATCTAAACAGACATCATGTCTATTACACAAGATTAAAAATGTCGTATATTTCTAGAAAACGGATTTGTCAATCTAGTTAATGAAAAACAATATTGAACTTAGATTACGGCGTCGTTTTGCTTTGGAAAAGAAACGACATGTTTTGTTGTTAGCATGAACAAATGCCTTTTATATATATATATATATAGGAATTGTCTCTCGTCAGGCACTTGAAAAGTGCCTGACCAGTCAGGTGTTTGTATAATCATGTATAAATTGTGTATATTTATACGTAAATTATGTATATTTACATGTAAAGTCACGTATATTTAACATGAAATACAATAAATCAGTCAATATACATATTTTCATGCTATGCGTTCACTAATTGCTATAAAAAAAACATGTTTTGAGGATTAATATACATTGTCATTTCTTATAACTTAACATACATGATTTATATGTAAATATACACGATTTACATGTTAATATACACGATCGCACAATTATACAAGTGTCATGTAAATATACACAATTTACGTGTGAATATACACAACTTACTGTAAATATACATACTTTATACAAAAATATACAAGTGCCGTTCTGATCAGGCATTTTCTAAGTGCCTGACCAGAGACCTTTGCCTCTATATATATATATATATATATATATATATATTCAAATGAGATGTCGTATATAGTTTCTAGTGAACTAATAACTGAGGACTTCTTGTCTGTTTAATAAGTAAATTTTTTATTATTGTTTATTATTATGACAAAAATGAAGAAGTTCTTTTCCTTTTTAAGAACTTTTCTTTTTCTTTTCTTTTCATAAAAATTATAGATGATTTTATGAGAAGGGAGATCTCAGAATGATGTTATCCGATTTTCTTTATGCTCCAAACATTAAATTTTTGTGTGGCCAATTGCCAAGGTAGACGAAATCCATGTTTTTCGAGAAAGGGAAGATATCAAGAAAGAAGAAATACAAAAAAATAAATAAATAAAAATAAAAGTATTTTAAAAGATAGAGTAAGTGAATGAGAATGGTAATGAACAAGGATCAATGGAAATGCTTTGGCAATAAACAACATTCTTCAACGAAACGAAAACCTATTTGATGACACTCTAATGCTTCAACAACGCAAGAAGCGAGAGAAGAAGAGAAGCTCCAACGACGGCTAATAATAGTACTACTGGGTGGCAAAAATGGTGGTTGTGGTTGTTTGTGACTGCTCCTGGAGCTTTAGACGGGCTGCTTGCGACCGCCCAAAAAAATTGATTTTAAGCTCGACTTCTAAATCCATCCGTCCGAAATTTTCAGGCGGGCGCCCGAGCCCGAGAAGGCTCATGGACGGGCCACAAGCCTGGTTTTGGCTGCCCGAGCCCGCCAGAATGGCCTGAAAAAAAATATATTTTTTATTATATTTTTAATTTTTATAATATTGTATATATATTATATATAATATATATACAATATTATAAAAATTAAAAATATAATAAAAAATATATTTTTTATTATATTTTTAATTTTTATAATATTGTATATATATTATATATAATATATATACAATATTATAAAAATTAAAAATATAATAAAAAATATATTTTTTATTATATTTTTAATTTTTATAATATTGTATATATATTATATATAATATACTATTATTTAGTAATTGTATTTGTATATAAATAATTATTAAATTATTTTGTGTTAAAATTATATAAAAATTAAAATCAACATTCAACACACATTAGGATATTGTGATAGTTTTTAAAAAAATTGTGAGAGAGATTTGAGAGATTGAGAAATTGACAGAGATTGAGAAATTGACAGAGATTGAGAGAAATTGAGAGAGATTGAGAGAGATTGAGAGAGTTTGGGTGAGAAAAATGTGTGGGGGATGGGAATATTTATAAGAAAATTTTTGGATTGAAAAATTGATTTTTTTCCCCCAAATTAGGATCTAATGGTCATTTTTGGTCTCAACGGGTCGGATTCGGGCCGAAAAACAGGCAACGGTAAAAATAAAAAATAAAAAATAAAAAGAACCGTTGAAGTCGGACTTTTCAGGCAGTGGGTCGGATCGAGCGCCAAAGGTCAAAAAATATCCATTGATCGGGCTTCGGACAGTTCGGGCCAGAGGGAAAAAAATTCTGGCAGTCAACGGTCAGAGACTTTCTTTTGACGGCGGGTTTTGGCGATTCCGACCATTCTCGGGCAGCCCGAGCCCAAACCCAAAGACTTGCTAGGACGGGCGACCTTATGAGCCTGCCCGTCGAACCTGAAAAATTCAGGCTTTGGGCAAGCTCACCGGCCCAAAATTCCAGCACTATTTGTGACCATTGTGGTCATGAAAAACGTGGTCGGTTCACAGCGCCGCGAAATATTTTGACACGCCACGGTAATATATATTGTACAATATGTATTCATATTGATATATAAAATAAAATAAAATAAAAATGAGATTTTAGTCCCTAACACTTATGTAGCCTAAACTTTTCGGATATTAAAATTTGTCTCTAAACTTTTAATTTGGACAGTTGATGTATCTAACTTGTTTAACTGTTGCAGCGTGTAGCTTATTTTATTAGTTTTGTTCTGAATTGTGAGGG